ACCGCCCGGCCAGCCCCTCGGGGTCCTCAGCTGGAGCGCCCGCCCTCCCTGACGCTGCGCCCGGGCCGCGGCCACCTCACCTGGACGTCCGGGTGGCTCCGCGGGTCCCACAGCCGCCACCTCAGCCCCCCGGCAAACTTGAATGTTTCCACAAGGTGATGGTACAAGGTCACGTTCCCTTCAGGCCCGGCCACCGACTCCGCAGAGAAGTTGAACCCTGTGGGGGATGGGGAGCGGGCACAGGCACTGAGCCACACCAGCCAGGGAAGAACTCACCTTCTTGACCCATTTCCCACAGCCCTGGCGTCTGATGAGGGGGCTGAGCTGGGAACTGGGAACGGCCACGGCTGCCCCAGGCCACGGCTACCCCAGGCCACAGCTGCCCCAGGCCACTGCTGGGCGTGGGGTTCTGGTTCCCAGCAGGACAGGACCCTGAGCGGGAGGCGGGGCTCTCACCTTTGAGCACGTTGAGGATGAGGCTGAGAATTGCGCCCCCTGCAGGCGGCGGCGGGGAGTACAGGGTGTAGTCCCCCAGGGGCATGGCCAGGGCGGCCACCACCTCGGGCTGGAAGGAGGTCAGGTCCTGCATGGTCAGTTGGCTGCCTGCAGGGGGCAGAGAAGTGCAGGTGCAGGTGGGGGAAGAGGCGAGAGTGACCGCCCCTGGTCCCCGGTGCCCAGCCTGCTAGACCCAGACGGGGAGGGTGGGTGTGTGGTCAGTGGCCTCAGGGCTGGGCCCCAGAGCCCTGGGGGGAAGGACAGGATGGAGCTGGAGGCAGGCAGGTTGGGGGAGGGTTGGGGGGGAAGGTGGGAGAGGAGAGCTGGCCTCGGGGGACACTGTGAGGGTGGCCAGCCCCAGGCCCAGAGCCCACCATGGCCCCCAGGGACTCCCCTCTGTTGGCCCTAACCCCCCCTCCCCCCCAGGCCCTGCTCCTTGAGGGCGTGGCGGCAGGGCCACAGCTGTGGGCAGTGGGCGGGACAAGACACACAGCCTCTCCCAGCCCCTGGAGCAGCTGGCCCGGGGCAGAGCCTGCCCTCAAGACCCCGTGTCTAGCCCTGGCCAGTGTTGCTCAGTGGGTAGAGCACCGGCCTGTGGACGGAAGGGTCCCGGGTTCGATTCTGGTCAAGGCCACATGCTTGGGTTTGGGGTTTGATCCCTAGTGGGGCTCTCCCTCTCTCCCCCACTCCCTTCCTCTCTGAAATCAATAAAGTACATTTTAAAAAAGAAAGAAAGATGAGCAGCAGGGACCCTGTGTGGAGAGCCTGGCTCTTCCTGGGCTCGGCCGGGCTCGGGGGGCTCACCTTTCCGGGCGATGTCCTCCAGCAGCGTCCGGCCCAGCTGCCCCGAGTAGAAGGC